GAGAGAGAGAGAGAGAGAGAGAGAGAGAGAGAGAGAGAGAGAGAGAGAGAGAGAGAGAGAGAGAGAGAGAGAGAGAGTTTTTGGTAGTGAAGTGATTTGCGTTCGAAGCAAGGCAGTTTGTGTTCCTTGTCGCATAGCAACATGTACGTTTTAGTTTTGGTAAGTGTAATACGGCACTTGCAACACAATAAGGTCATATAAGTGCCGAAGATTAGGTGTTACAAGACAGTAACAAACACAAAAAAAGAAGAAGGGGAGATAAAGACGATAGATGTTTGATAGGAAAGAAGAAACAAACAACACCAGAGCACCCGCCAACCACCCACATAGCAACATGTTAACACCAAAAATCGGAAACATTAACTCTTAATGGGCTATTTATCTCCTTTGCACTCGCAACACCAAAAAGGTCATATAAGTGACGAAGATTAGAGCTGTTACATAAGAGTAACAAACATAAAAAAGAAGGAAAGAAGAAATAAGGACGATAAAAGTCTGATCGAAAAAAAAGGGGCAAACCACACCAGAGCACCCTCCTCCAACCACCCACGCCTTAAACGTCCATGCTCGATGGGACTAAATTAAAAGTTTTACGGCACTTGCAACACCCGCCCGCCAACCACGTTATATGGTTCGCCGTTCGAGCGAGTGAGCGAGCGCCCCGTTAGATAGATAGGCTGTTCTGTTGTATGGAACCATAGAGTTACCCCCTGTGCCTATTGTGTACATCAAATGTATGGAACCTACTGCATGAGGCTAAATGGTCGGCACTGTCGTCGTAATGTCTACACTCTCTTTTCTCTCTTTTCACAGTCCGGCGTGCACATTAACACGGCCGCCGCTACTTTAAAAAAAGGTGACACAAAAGGCCACGGTTCAAAGATCTTAACAAGACATTCACTTTTGCTTCCCGCTTGGCCCCAGATCGAAGGAACCGATAATATGTAATAAATCTGGGAGTGCTTAAAGAGAGGAATAGTTTACGACGAGCTGTCACAAAGGCCACATTAGCTTATTGAACTGGGGAGAGAAAACCGGTTCTGAATTGGTTTGATCTCCTCCTTCACGCTTCAGTTTAGTTTTAGTAAAAGTTTCACGGCACTTGCAACACAATTTGTACATGTCAGTGCCGAATGTTAGGTGTTGCTAGTGAGTAACATACAAACAACAGCAACAAGAACACTAGATCTATCAAGAACATCCAACAATATCAACATCATGACATCAACAATAACAACAACAATAGCAATAACAACCACAACAACAACGACACCAACAAGGACAACAGCAACAACAGCGACATCAACAAAAACATCGACATCAACAACGACAACGACGACGACAACAACAAAAACGACAACGGCATCAACAACAGCAACAACAAAAGGAGGAAGAGGAGAGAGATACAGGTGATTTATGTCTGATAAGACAGAAGAGGCAAACCACAACAGAGCGCCCGCCAACCACCCGATATCTGTGTAAGGTGAAAGAGATGAACACCTCGGGACAAGCTATCATTAAAGCCACATTAATTATTGAACTGCGGAGAAAACCAGGATCCGATTTGAAGACCTCAGGGGGAAAAAAACAGATAAGTTACATGTTAAAAACGTGGAGAACATGGACATTCAATTTGTTGAAGGTCCATAAATCTCATAGAGAGTATAGCAATTTAAGTGGTAAAAACGTTGAAAAAAAGTCCCCCCCCCCCCCCCAATGTAGGTACAATCGTTGTTTTTTTATGAAACAGTTGGGTTGGGTTTTTTTCATTTGTTGTAAAAAAAAATTGCGTCCTGGGGTTAGAGCATTAACAGCCTGCAGACGAATTAAGATCTATCAAGTACTTATTATCTATGTTGAAAGAGAACTGATGTCACACTGGGACGGACTACATGATCATAGGTACACACATTGAGACAGGCAAAGGTGGGGGTGGGAAGGGGAGA